CTCTTCTTGTCAACACCAACAGACAGTGTTGTCTGCAATACCGACACCACTGAAGGAGCTTCCCGTGTGGACGAAGGTAGAGACATCACAGCAAGACGGTAAGGAAGGCCACCAGAGAGCAACGGCTTGTCGGTACAAAAGACCGCGCGCCACGAAATTGTGTGGGTAGCGTGCTGGTCACAGGGGAGATAGTCCGGGGAGATGACCGCATGATGACCTCTGATAACTTGGCCTCCCTCGGTGGTGACCTCTACCATTCCTTCAACACTTCGGACCTTGCTGGGGGTGCATCTCAGCACGTAAAGACCGGACTCCACGGAGCAGCGACGGGCGAAGGCTTGGACGATGTCGCCTGTGCCGTAGGAGGGCAGCAGGAAGGCGCATCTAAAGGGAACAATTGTGCGCTCAATCATACCACTCCTTTCCCACATCGGCGAAGACAAGAGAAGCATGCCACTAAGAAGACCTTCAACTCACCCGTCGCTATCATAGACTTGCAAAGACTGGACAAACTGAGTCAATCGATTCTGCAACCGAACGCTCTTATTCGCCCTCCAGTTGTCCTCGTTTAAATCAAGGCAAACGGCGTATTTGAGACCATCCAACAGTCTGCTCGGTAACGCTGTCAAATCCAGCTCAGAAACTGGATCTTGCAAAATCTTGCAATCTTGCTTTTCCTCAACGCTATTGTATGTATCAGTCCCCACTGCCGCTGCACTTTGAAAGGCCAAATTCGGCGATAGGTTCGCCGAAGTGGTGATGAACTTCATCAACTGCCGTTTTTCAAGAAGCGACAATTTCTTATGTTTGAAGATCTGCTGGCGAGTAACCGGCACAGTGAGCGTATCAGTTACACGTAATGGCGATCTTGCAATCTTGCTCCCACTTGCATTTCCTCCACGCTCCTCTCCTGTCCAGATCATCAACGAATCTTTGAGTTTTTGAAACTCCAAGTACGCGGCACAACCGCTTTCCAATAGAAGGTCAACCATCTTGCTCTTACAGTACCTGTAACGTATATTGAACCTCCCTATGTAAATCTCGCTCGCCCGTAGGATACCACATATATTGTTCAGTGAAACTTGAGCAGAGACGGTATATGCATGTCACCGAGTTCAGACGAGTTGCCTAATGTAACCTATTTTGTATCTTGCAAGGTGCAACCTTAGATACTCCTCATTTCACAATTGATGATGCGAATTCTAGTGGGCAAGCTACTGATGTTCCCGCTAAGCCTATTTTCCCGTTTCCGCGCGGAAATTCGAGCACTTTCTGGGGGAGAGGAAGAGCGGAGAATACAAGGGTTTCGCGATTCCAATTTTGACTAGCAAGCTACTACAAAGGAGGAGAAAGATTCGCTCGACGCGAAAATGACGACAAGAAAGGATTCTGTCACGCGCCACGAAATTAAGGCCCTACAGAATCCGCGGGTTGAGGTCGATAGCAAATCGACTTGAGCATTTTCGTAGTTCTTCTTTCACTATTTCATCATCGATCATCTCGAAACACCTGTCTACCATGTACCACTGTTGGCTGCGGTTTAGGTCGGCATCTGATGACCAACGGTAAATCAAAGCATCCCATTAATGAAGGCCTCACAGTCAGCGTCACGCGCCACGAAATTATCCACCTTGCTGGTCGGTTCCTCAGCAGCCCAACTCTGCAAGTCCCGAAGTGACAACGACGCCGAAGATCCGCCATAGTAGCTATTAGAATCCAGCTGGAGCACCTGATGGTATTTTTTCGCGCGCCACGAAATTGAGCGAGAAAGTTGACCTTCTTCCCCTTAGCCGAGAGTGCCGCTCCCAACATGCACTCGGTGAGTCCAGTACCGACTATCACCACATCTACTTTCCGACTTTGCTCGTCGAGAATCGGCTCAACGATCGACATTCCGGAAATCAAACGCTGCGAATGAAAAACCGTCTTTGGCAAAACTCTGCAAAAATGTCAAATTGAGAAACTAAGAATGGCCGTTGGTGGGAGTCTGCATGTGCTGTCTCATGGCATCGGTGACGAGAACATCTGAGAGGAATCTTAGGTTGCCGCTACGAAGATACAGAATAGGTCCTACTAGATATGTTTTCACTCTTAGTCGGGCCACTCTGCGAGGGACCGGGCGGGAGTGGAAAACTCAAACCTGATGAAAACTCAATGACACACGAAAGAGCGTCCATATTCGGGCCTATTCCGTATCTTTACCGTGGGTCTTGGAAAATATCTTCAATTTTCTCTAAGATGTACCACCAAACACAGCATTCCTTCAAAGTAGCCTTGAAGATCACGAATCGATAGAATCTCGAGCGGAGCGACGCATTTTTCCCATATATTACCCGGTTGTTGACCCAACACTTTCTCACTGAGAGTTACCGAGTGCCCTTGAGTTGACGTTGGGTTGGTAGGAGGGGCCCAAAGGGGCTGCTCCCCGTATCGAGGCTTTTTGGACGGCCGTCCTTGAACACTGTCAGGGAACTCAGAAGCGCCAACTGAAGGCAGATTGTCTCCGTTAGAAATACTTGAGTTGGTATCCGCGGTTGGTGAATATTATTTCCAGAATTACTAAAACGAGTCGGTGAAAAAAGAGCAATTTTGAAGTGAAAAAATTATCAAAAATTCGAAAAAAAACTTCTTGAAAATGCTGTATATGATACGCGATCGTCTCCGTGGTCTCCCGTTATGAAAATGCCCTCCATTGAAGACAACTACAGTGACACTCAAGCCTCCTACCCTACCATGTGTGTACAGTGCGAGCAACAAAATACTCACAGTGCGAAGACTTCCGAGATGTTCTCATGTTGTTTACTTCCCATTTATTCGACAAAGGCCTTCCAAGGAAAGTCATTCCTCCTACTATTACATACGGTGAGTGAGGAATATGTGAAGACTCTAATAAAAGCTAGTACGACGAGGTAGCCTAACGCAGATGAACATCTTCCGGTCACCCCATGCTGATTCCACGAAATTTAATACCAAATTTCTCTCAACTCACCTAAGAATGCAATATTACCTTCAGTGGACACTCCCCTGTCCTCCTTCGCAGTGGACGTTTCCTCAACTATAACTTCAATTTTGATGAGGATCGGCCTCTGGGCATCTCCCCCATCGTTTTCCTCCCCGTTTATCCGACTCGCGAGAATAACAGCATCTTGCCACGTTCCCTCCAAAAGCACACACGCGTCACCCTCGTCGTCCTTATACAGGAATCGGAGCTCTTTCCCTTTCAGAAAAGGCCAGCATATCTCCGTCATTGATCTCACCGTGCTCATCATAGCAACTCCTTGGGATCCGCAACCCTTTGCGAAGGACCGCCTAAACCGCACGCTTTCATTCCCGTGGGTGATTTTTAAAATGATGTGATTAAAGGGCATTGACAAAACAGAAGATACTTTTCTTGCCCCGACAGAATGAGGTTGGTTCCAGCGACTTCCTATGGCAACACAAAACCAAAGAGATGGGAGACGTCGGAAAGGTTGGCTAACCGGAGCTTGAGCAAGAGGTAGCAAACCCAGCTCGTATGCTCGACGGAATCAACTAACCGACCAATACCGACAGAATGGTGTAACAGTTACAGGGACATTTCGACATACCAAAGGTCGTGGGTTCGAAGCCCACAGTTTTCTTTATTCATGTAATGTTTAAATAAGCTAACAAAGTGACCAAACACTACCGATCGAACAATGGCAGAATTTCATAATCCATAGACTTCAGCTCAACGGTCTAAAGAGCCGACTACTGAGCGGCTTCATTTTGACGGGATACTTCCTGCCAGCCACTGCTCACACTCTCGTTATCATTCAAGGAACCTTCAGATTCCACAGAGGCTCCCATGGCGTGATCACCTAAATAACGAGAGATCGTATATTCAGAGGAACTTACTCAGTGTACAGAATTTAAGAGGAAAATTTTGGAAAATTCTTGTTGGTGATCATCACCGAGATTCTTCAAACGACGTATATATCTCCCCGATATCCATATTGTGCTTTAAGTATTCCCTCGAGAAAATATGCTGCCGAGATCATCCGAGTCGGAATGCCTTACAAGTCGTTGTCGTTTTCGTACAGTGATGAACTATAACGGAAAAAAAACTTCACTGTTGATTTCACGTTCAACTCGCTGTTGTCAATTTCGTAGCTCATCCAACTTCAGCAGCATTTCTCATACCACAAATATAATAACCCTACACTTCCACTCATGCCCTTACCTCCTTGGTCCGAACACATCCACCCATCACGAAAGGCATCTATCTTTAGCTCCTTCAACAGCGACAACGGCACCAGTAAGCACGGCACTGCTGCCTGTTGAGGCTCAGAGGGCAACACCAGAGGGGCCTCGACTGCGGTCTGTAGTTCCACAGAGAACTTGAGCGTTGGAGTGCGATCGGTTCCTTCAACACGATGCTTAGCGATCTCCCATGCATCGAAGAAGGAGCCTTCAGTGAGATGGCATTTATCACCATCGTCATCTACGTAGTAAATGTTGACCACTTCCGCACGCAGCTGAGGCCACTTCTCATAGAGGCATCGCTTCACATCGGCCAAGGCTGGGACGTAGAATAGACGCCAACGAAAGACCTCCGAGCCGTACTTCAGCTTGATGAACACCGGCATTACTCAATAATGTGATGAGCTACTATACAGAGAGGACATCACTAGGCGTATTTTAGGTCGACAACAGGAAGATACGAATTAGGTCCGATTAATGCAAATGGCTTGTAGCGAGTTGGTGACAGTATCACCAACGATCACACAACCATTTCAGTGCATGATCGAGATGATGTCGTTGACAACGAAAGCGAAAATACTCATCGAATGAATATACTCTACACCACTGAGCCCTCAGGAAAGTACAACACATTTTAGAGAAGACATCCGCCGACTCCTTTTCCGCCCACAGAAACCGCCGAATTCAATTTGTGGACAATATCATTTTACTATGTGAAAACAGTCGAACAACAATACAGATGGTCACATCACTTATTGATGAAGATTTGCATCACACCAAACGCAAGTCGAAAAGTTGAAGGAGATGCTCACCTCGATGGACTGACTAATGTTGACCAGCAACACCACCAGCAGCAGCGGGGAAGCTATAGGTAAAAACGACAATAGTCGTTGGGTGTTTGAAATGGCAGGAGAGAACAGAAAAACAATCTGATAGAAAAATTGACTTATGCCTCAACTTCATCGGTAGTAGGCTTCTTTCCATCATCAATAGTAGAAGAGGATTCGTCCTTCTCGCTAGCCTCGGGCTTGTCCTTCTTGGCACAGCAACGTTCGTGTGGATGTCTAATGGTCCTATGCATCATGCAAGGATGTGATGATACCTTATGGTGGTGGTACTCCATTGGAGGATAGCAACAACAACAACAACAACAAGCCATGTAAGGGCACTTGTTCATCATCATAGCCGGGCAGCACTCCTTAGCAGCCATGTAAGGCACTTGTTCATCATCTCTGGACAGCACTCCTTAGCAGCCATGTAAGGGCACTTGTTCATCATCTCTGGACAGCACTCCTTAGCAGCCATGTAAGGGCACTTGTTCATCATCATCTTGGGACAGCACTCCTTAGCAGCCATGTAAGGGCACTTGTTCATCATCATCTCCTTAGCAGCCATGTAAGGGCACTTGTTCATCATCATCTCCGGACAGCACTCCTTAGCAGCCATGTAAGGGCACTTGTTCATCATCATCTCCGGACAGCACTCCTTAGCAGCCATGTAAGGGCACTTGTTCATCATCGTAGCCGGGCAGCACTCCTTAGCAGCCATGTAAGGGCACTTGTTCATCATCTCTGGACAGCACTCCTTAGCAGCCATGTAAGGGCACTTGTTCATCATCTTGGGACAGCACTCCTTAGCAGCCATGTAAGGGCACTTGTTCATCATCTCCGGACAGCACTCCTTAGCAGCCATGTAAGGGCACTTGTTCATCATCATCTCCGGACAGCACTCCTTAGCAGCCATGTAAGGGCACTTGTTCATCATCTTGGGACAGCACTCCTTAGCAGCCATGTAAGGGCACTTGTTCATCATCGTAGCCGGGCAGCACTCCTTAGCAGCCATGTAAGGGCACTTGTTCATCATCTCTGGACAGCACTCCTTAGCAGCCATGTAAGGGCACTTGTTCATCATCTTGGGACAGCACTCCTTAGCAGCCATGTAAGGGCACTTGTTCATCATCTCCGGACAGCACTCCTTAGCAGCCATGTAAGGGCACTTGTTCATCATCTTGGGACAGCACTCCTTAGCAGCCATGTAAGGGCACTTGTTCATCATCTCTGGACAGCACTCCTTAGCAGCCATGTAAGGGCACTTGTTCATCATCTTGGGACAGCACTCCTTAGCAGCCATGTAAGGGCACTTGTTCATCATCTTGGGACAGCACTCCTTAGCAGCCATGTAAGGGCACTCGTTCATCATCTCTGGACAGCACTCCTTAGCAGCCATGTAAGGGCACTTATGAGTCTCGTCATCCTTGTCCTCCTCTCCAGCATCATCCTCCTTCTCCTCAGCATCCCTTTCCTCCACAAAGATGCCAATATTCTTCGAGACACCATCACCGACAGAGGCCTCCGTCAACAGCTCATCAAGCTTGTCCTCATTGAGGATGTCCTTAGACCCGAGACCATCACCAACGACGATGTCGAAGTCCTTCCCTCGCAACTCCGGCCAGGCGTCAGCAATGTACTCTCTCACCTTGGCAATCGAATCAACGTCAGTCGTGCTTGCACGAACACGAACGATGTCCGAATTGAAGTGAAACTTCAAAACGATTTCTTTATCTACCATTATGAAATAAAAGTCTTTATCAACAACTACTACAACAATACTGGGAAATAAAGCTGAAGAATTAAGACGAAAGGGACACTGTGACGACACAAGCTGATGCTCCGTGTCGTCACCAACACAAAGGGTACATGTGATTTTTATACACTGTCGAGTGCTACTATGAAAATGCTTGTTTGAATAGGAACGGAGAAAATTGATTTCGTTAAAACAACGAAATTGGAGTTCCTATGGCGTTATGGTGAAATTGAAGTTTTTATCATCATGCTTTGTCGAAAAAGTATCTTAGATTTGCTATTTCGCCAGCCCGTCACAATAGAAGTTACTAGTGTTCAGAAAGGCGCTAAGTGGCGATCGAAAATGAGGGCTATGAGAGTAAGGGTATGCATTGAATTGAAGAGCCTCTGGGTTATAATAGGATGGTAAGAGGTGACTGTAGATGGGTTCACTCGACGACAGGGTTGGTGTTCCAAGCAGAAACTGGGATAATTCGAGACTCATTCAAGAGTAGTAATCGATCGAGATTGGAAACGCATAAAAGAAGCCGATATGTTTCCATGACTTTTCCAAGGGCGACGTAGTGAGAATGAAAAGGCAATTCTATAAGGATCTTCGAACGACAAGTCATCCTGCAGAAACCTAATCGCCCGGCCGTTGAAGACGAAGAATATATCTACAAGTCATGTCGTGGGGGGGGTTTCTCGCTGGACGTATTAGAGGCCAATAATGTACAAGCTATCGCAGGCCATGTATATATAGCGTGGAGGATTGAGTAAATGTAAGAAAAGCTAAGAGTTCAAGATTGTAGAAGGCAGGCAGTCTAGAGATAAGTCTTCTCAACGGAGCTCTCAAGACGTCACAACCTAACGTGGCTTCCTTGTTACTATGCTCAGTCGTAAGGCTCCCCTGAGGTAGGCTATCTTCGACTCGTCTCGAGCCTCTCTGGACCAACGCTGAATAGTCAATAACCTATTTACTATTTCGACCTCACAAGGCTTCGGCGGGAGAGACTACTTCCCACAGTATCAGCGTTCCTCTCCATAGGCTCATAGTGGGAGTACGAAGATCTTCCCAGCCGCCACCGGATCGATGAATGCACAGGAACGTGGATTGCAGCGTTATCGTGTTCCACTAAGGCGTCAATCACGCTCTGGCTTTACACAACGAGGCAAAACGCTTGTTCATAATATTATCCGCTGCTGCATGTTGTCGATAAGTCACCCTATGTAGCACAGTTGTTACCTCTCCTCAAGCATGACTCGCCGGCTCTCACCTTCGGCATTACTCAGAGCCTTTCTACTCATGACCTTGCTTACTACAGTATTAACTCGACACTGGGATACTCGGCGAACTAAGTGCTCTCGAACGCCTGCTTGCCGAGAGCTGCGACGACGAGACCTCGTCGAGGCTTGCATTGACGAGTGAGGCTCTGTTTAGTCGTTTACACCCGGAGAAAAATAAATTATGAAATCCCATCCCATGATTCATAGTTTCCTTAAGGTGTATATCGCCGGCGTGCTACGAACAAGTGTATGGCAACTCACCTTTGGAGCCGGGAGAAATCGACAATGAGAGGAAACTGGCTTATATCAAATGTGATCATCATAACACACATCACGATACATGATAACTATTCTAAAGGGTACAACTTGAGTTTACAGTGAACTCAACAACCCGGCGTCAAATTCGACCGCCTCTGAAAAAAAGGATTGGAATATCTCATATGGTGCTGGACTGAAGTCCTGGTCACAAGACTGCAATACTGCTCGACCGCCACTGCCGCGCGAGCCTCTCAGAGATGTCACAAGCGAGACCGTGTAACTTATCCCCGTTCCATTCATAGTCGTAGCGATCTGCGAGGACACCTTTGCCACTCGGCCCCCACATGCGCCAGAGATCGTCAACTGCGAGTCTACGTTCTTGCTGTCTGGTAGAAGGCCTCCGTCCCGAAGCAGATTGGACACCAGAGAGCACTAATAGACAGACAAACGGCTTGCCGAAGCGTTTACCACAATTCTCCAGCGTTCTTTGGCATTGCCGTAGCCGCAACTCGAGCATTGCGATATCTTCCTTCTGAGAGGAGTCGTATCGGGGTAGAAAGTGGGAAGGAGGCTGAGCGACTCACCAAAGTATTCCACTCTGAACGATTAGAACTATCTTCTCCAATGAGGCATTTCCAACACTTCATGCAAGGGTTAGAAGCAGTAGCGACCTTGCTTGGGCTGGGAGGAGGATCCAGGGAGAGAAGGAATATGAATGCAGTGTTGAGGACAGCGGTCATGGAGGTAAGCCGAGGGATGGATGAAGAGTACTTATAGGATACCTGACAAACAGAGACGTAAGCTGAACTAAGATCCATCGTAGATCATCTCGACAACAATTTCGCATTGCAGAATGAAAGCGTTGGTGCGAATGACTAACTCGGATATCATCACATCTTTACAAAGAGTACTTCAAGGAGCCCTACAAGATACATATGTAGCTAACGGTTAACATAAGAATCCCGAGCGAGTTTACGAGTCGTGCAAGGCTGTTGCCTCTGAAGAGTCACCACCCCTGAGCGCAATTCCAAAATCGTTAGTGAGCTAACTAACTAGACACCGGAGAATTAGAGTTGATCTCGAACGATGATAGGAGCTGTTGATCGGGCATGACTTACATTGTCGAATGAGACGCGGGTGACGATGGCGCTGAGCAGAGTTCGTTGCCTCGACACCGAGCCGGAGACGGACGCACAGATCGGGGTAGACTCATTCGAGGCAGCATCACGCATCTCGGGAGACTGGGATTGACTGAGGGAACCTGTTTGGGATCTCCCCACGGAAGTCAAATGAGGTATGGATGGAGCCTCAATTTGACAGTAGCATCTGAGATAGAAAAATATCTTGGATGCCCATGAAACGGTAAGATACACTGAGCGCACAGCCAAGATTTTCGCCAAGGAATGCTACTGAAATTAACCTCATACGTTCCATCTCAGTGATCCAGAATCGACCTCGAGATAACCTCAGTTACATTCAAGGTCTGCAAGCCGTCCATAGTCCAACACCCACATACTTATTGCCGCTCTCTCTCCGTTGGCCCGAGCGACGGGTTGAGCGCCTCAGATTCAGGCTGCTATTCGACGTTAAACTCATGCTCGATCGACTCGTGTTGTAAACAGAATTTTCTCCTCCGACCACTGAGTTACTCCGTCGGCAAATCGCGAAGCGGGCCGATTGGCTTTCGCACACCATCTTGACGAACTGGGTGTAGACGGTGGGTCGCCCGATCACGACAAATGAGTGTCGATATGATATCGGGGGAAGATCCTCCGGGACCTACTTTGCATCTAACCATTTGGACATGATCCGTATCTTTACCATCGTCAGTTGGTTGTTGCCCCGCGTGACAGAACTCGTCGAACGAAGAAATGCTAACATACCATAGACAATCTGATATGAAGTACGAGCGTACTTCTGGGCGAGCGCGATCATCTATTCATTGAGGAGATGCAAGATTGCAAGATTCAGTCTCGCCAAAGACCGTCGGATGAATGAAGTTGAAATGATCCGTCTAATCCTCACGGTTGGGAGTACGAGTAGCAACTCAGCTGTAGTGGAACTGGTAGGCTCTACTTGGGAATCTCATGGTGAATTTTAATGGCGAAAAAATCGGCCGTGTGTTTCAAGATTTTTGTTCCCTATTATGACGTTTGGTAATCATCATTCCCGCGAGACCCACAGCGAGTATAACTTGCAAATTAGCCCAGGATGTGGACCCTGTTGTCTCCGACCCGCGGCCCTAAGCTCGCTACTAGCAGTTGGCACGCCGGCCAAGGCTTCCTATACGAAGAAAGCGCAGGTTGGGGGAGGAGTTGTGAATACCTGAAGTAACTCCATGTTAGTGTCAGTCGACTGGCGTGAAAAAGTCCAGAGATGAGGACAGCAGCAGCGTGGTACCATCCACGAGTACATTAACTGGAGGTTCCGATAGAGGTGATCGTACTATTCATCGTCGGCGATGTATTATGTTTTCACTACTCAGGGCCATGCGTAACTCCTGCGTATCTACGTGCTGGTCGAGTTGAGAGGCATTCGAGTATGCCCGAGGTCAACAGCACTCCTTGTGGGACCTTGGTCCTGAGTAAACTTGAATTGGAAGGCTCTGGTATAGGAGGACGATCTCGTTTAGAACACAACGTGAGAGGCATCTCGGCTGAGTTGTTCGAGTCGAGCGCCGTCACGCCGAAGACAGCGGAGTCGGGCCTGCGGACTTTCCCTGCTATAAAGACGTCCTCACCGTCGGAGGGTGTCCTCAAAGAGCTCGAATTGGAGATGCTTAGAGCGGTCAGGGCTGATGACGCTCTACGTGTTAGGAAAATACTGGTAGGATTTGGGGGTTTTAGTGATGTAGTAGTGTGATAATAGTGACGATTCTGTAAGGCTGGTAGAGCGTGACTCAGCAACAGTGGTTTTGCTTGACACGTTGTAGGCTTGGACAAAAAATGGGGAAAAACGTCACAGTTTCTGGCTAAAACGTTAATAACAGGTCACTTCGTTTTGGTGATCAGGCTTCGGGCTGTAGAGCGAACCCACAGACCTGTCCAAGCGATAGTTTCCTGTTGGAGTCAACTAGTCTCGAGGTCTCCCTCCTTCTCTTGGATGCTGGAGCTGATGTAATTCATCACCAGGAGACGAGGAGCTTGACAAGGGTTGTAGGTGAACGTGAGCCGATCGAGCGATGGTAACAGTCCGCTCATGCTGGCAATACGGAGTGGTGACACGCGGATGGTTCGGTTACTCTTACAAGTAAGTTGGTTACATCGAAGTACCCAGAATGCCTTACAGTATGGTGCTAACCCTTCTGTTCGTAATCGACGAAATGAATCTCCACTGATCCTGGCTGCTCAGCTCAACAAACATGAGATATATTCACTTCTCATGAGAAGGTAAAAGGTCTTAGATCTGCTACTAGGACGCCGCTCGTATGGGCTCAGGTTAACAGCATGCATGGATCGTCATAGGGAGTTATAGCTCATTTAGGGCGACTTTCCATCTAGTTCAATGCCTTGTATTTTGTATCCGTGTTGTAGCATGGTAAAATGGAGCTTATTTCACTGACGAATATGCAATACTTGAGTTAATCCCAAGAGCCGGGCTGGGGAATTACTTCGACGGTAGTTGATTACTACTATCTACTTGAATGTCACGTCAGGAATGGTGGTGTTTGCTAGAAGGCCCGTCAATGGATGAACCAGTCTTCTGTTTCCCTATAGGCGACTACAGTGGCAACAACGATGAGTGTGAACTCCAAATATAACAAAGCATTTTTTCCCTGGAATGTTGATTAATGACGTCATCGATGCACATTATATCTCGAGAATAGTTCATAAGTTCGATATAATCCGACTACCATAATTCATAGTTAATAAGGTCATCCAAGCCTCACAGTTCGTCACGATAATGGTTCATCTCGGTTAATTTAGCCCAGACTCTGGGCCCAGAGCTGGTAAGTAGGGTAATACTCGTCTGTTTCTGGCTGCGTAGAGGGACAGTTTTCTGCAGTTTTCTTTGAAGTTTCCAAAATGCAAGATTTGATAAGAACGCAAGATTGTGTGGACATAGACTGACAGTGGTCCATAGTCTCAGGTGAGCTATTGTACGTGGTCTGCCTCACCGCGTCTACGACCCCCTTGCGGGGATGTTACCGGGGGGTGGTAAGCTACATGCTAATGCCCAGCAATAAAGTTTGAATTGAATTAATAACGAGTAATTTACAGTGTAAATTTTACACTAAATTTTCCAGTGGTCAATACAGTTGGAGTCTAAGGACCACATTGAGAGGCAAGGAGAAATTAAAGCCATGTATCGGAAACCAGATCATATCTGGCTGCAGAGTAGATGTGTTATCTCGCTCGCCTATTATTTATGAAACACATAGATATTCGAGCGAGCCATGTTACGACCGTTTCATGCCGAGCCTATCTCTGATGTTTGAGTTGAACGGCTCGATCGCTGGTATGGCTCGATTCAGTGCTCTGGAATTTGCTTTAATGAAATTGGTCCAGCGATGTAAGCTACATCATGTGGCTGCCCATGTCAAGGGATTTCGTTTGGTTCCATTAAGTGACATAACTTAGTAGCTCAACTCTAACATTAGAAATCGCCTCAACTTGAGCCGACTTTACTCGGAAGTTCAATAGTTCTCTGTCTCAGTTGATCATTGTATACGATAATGAACTCCTCTCTCTTGCTGGCACCCTTTCTCATGAGCGATGAGCCAATCGGTGGAGCTCCAATTACTCAACCTTTCGTCAGAGATGTACCGGTTTGTCCGTTGGTATTTCCAGAGACTGAAGTGCTTTGCAATCCTTGCTCGAGGGCTTTCCCGTGTGGTCTATCCATGCGGGGCTATCCATAATTCCTGATGGTAGTATTTTCATTTGGGAAGCTATGCTAATAATTGACGATATGAATGCAACGTTGTGAAGAGTGATTCTCGATGCGAGATTCTCTTGTTGTGCTGCGCGCGTCTGTACGGCGCGAGATATGATACTAAGGATCCTGCGATGCTGGTGATAGGTGAGCGGCTAACCTACATAGTAAAGAAACGATCTTGCACACATGCAGCTCGCTTTCACTGACTCATGAAAATAAAGTTTCAACTGTATTCCGACTTCCGCGACGTACGTTCCAAAAAGTATGGATGCACGGATACAACGGACGACTGTCTAATTCATATGGAATTTTTATCGAAATATCACGTGAGACGTACGTACTGTGGATATTATCCACTGACTAACGTTGAGGAAATCAGGACTTACCCATACGAATAAAACGTTAACCAAAAATTTCTGTGATTGTGCCCATTCTCCACTTTCAGGTTCTACCTCCCCTCCGGTACATTGGGCTGCCAGGCCAAGCCAAAATCATCGAACCAACAACGCAGCTGAAGCCCTCCATAGTTCCCTTGGCTCTCATTCCCCGTCACGCAATCACCCTGACATTAATACTTTTATTGAAAAGCTAGTGACGTTTCACGACAACCTTCTCGAGCAACCACTTGTGACTTCTGGTCAGCACCGTAGTCTGTCCAGTCATGACATCTCTCCATCTTCTCAAATCTTCTTCATCCAACTGAGGTTCCTAAGAGGCTTATGAGAGTGCCTTGAAGGAGCTACTTGATGCCAAGGTCGTCGATATCTGCCATCATGGCAGATATCGAATGATGACGAAGATCCTTCTACTTTCGCCGATTACTACATGTGTGTGGTGCCAGAAATCGTCAAGGCCGATTAACTACAAAGTGTAGGTTATGTCTGGATGCTCGGGGTCTCAACCCTTATATTTACAGCTTTCCACCTGGTGATAAGATTGGTGCTATGAATTTATGGAATCCGGAATATCATCACATCGTGCTTCGATAAAGGAGAGACAGAGATTGATGATATTGACACAACTGGAGCGTAACAAAATCAGTTTATTTCGGTATCCAGAAGATACAGGAAGAGTCAACAGTCTCCCCGCTAACTTTCTGTAGTAACTTTATGACTCCCGAACTTGTACTTCTAACTGTCTGATTTACAACAGGAGTTGAGTTAGTATAGCCGATGGGCCGTATGAAATCCACATTTTTTCGAGTGGAAACTAAATTGTACTCGTTAGATGCGGTAGATTATATGAGGCGCATATTATGAGCCATAGATGAACCGTTTATCGACTATAAGTTATAGTCGATAGAGTCTATAACGGTCTAGACTCTAGACTCTGGAGGTATAGTCTATAACCAGCCGAACAGAAAAAGGGAAGGAGAGCGACACTCTAAGGGTACTGCCGTAGATGTTGCCTCCTAACTCCACAGATCCGGGGGATGTCGTGGTGCGGGCTACTGCATCCCGTCACCATCAAACGCCAGTGACAAATTTTCTCATTCTCAGTCTGACCAAGTCGGGTACGACCCTCGCGAAGTTTTATGATCGCGCTTCAGTGGGCATCGCCAACCCCAAACTACAGGACATAGTCCTGAGGACATCGACAGCACAGCTCTGGTACCCTCATCCCCATCTTGAAATCCACGCTGATGGTCCGGAGCGTGCGTCAAGGCAAGCAAGAAAGTACCCGTTTTTAGTCAACTGTGTATTATCGACAACTTGTCGAATTTGAGGATACTTGTTATTTCGACACTTAGCGGTCGATATTAAGCTCGTTCATCGGCTTCGACAATAAATGTCGTAATTAAGTCGTCCATATTACACATAGCATGCTGTATCATACTTTCGCCAACGTTGTCGAAAAGACGAGTATATTCGACAACTTCTGACCGTTTAGATTCCGACAGTATTTGTCGAAAGTCGCATATGTCGCTGCAGAGGGGCAGTTTAGACAACTTGTCGTTTTCATTAGCTAAAGTTGTTTTCGACAGTTTGTCGTTATGTGAGGGTCGTGAATTCTTTCGACGAACTTTACATCGACTTGGAGGACGCTATCTCGCTCAGTGTTGGAATATATGTTCGCTTTCCTCAGCTGAGCTTAGGAGTTTCATCACTAAATATAGTAGTTTATATACGAATTAGGGTAGAAATATACAGAAACCAATAAGAATTTACTCAGAATTTTCATAATTGTCACTGACACATGTAGTTGACCATGAGCATATTTTCCCACACTGCTCTAGCTAGTTTATATACTAAATGAATTCTCGGGATATGAATAACGTCGTCACGTCATCGGGAGCCCCCTTGCCTGTTGGTGTACACTATCCAGAGGCTCCTCATCAGCAACAACAGCATGGTGGTCATCATGGTCATGGCGGCAGTAAACACACTACTGCATCGGGGAACACTACGTAGAAATCATTCATACTTCCTCTTGAAATTTGCCATTCGATTCAGGGCCCTCACACCGACCTCGTCAAACAACAGTCGTGGAGATATGTCTGGTAACAATGGGGAACCAATGATAGTGATGCTTTAATCTGCCTCGTAGTCGCTCCTGGAGTTCGAAAACAGTTTCTACGGACAAAACTGTGTAAACATTTCTTACGTGGTTGCTGTCTTTATGGGGATAAATGTAATAGTAATTTCATCAACGCTTACTCTGTCGAAGGAGATTTCCCACAGGCACATACGCCCACGACTATAGTCAAATCCAGGTCAGACCGGACCTGCGGAAAACCAGAATGTGCCAGGCCAATTTGGAGGGGAGATGTCCCTATAGAGCAGAGGACTGCCAATCAACTTTTGTCTCTCGGTTGGAACATCCTCAACGTGCCGCTCGTTCTTCTTGTCAGCAGCCTCACGGCGTTTTAAGACAAACACCACCCTGTCCTCGTGCGTCTTCGCTGAGCCTAACCCAGCCTAACCGATGAAGACGTAGGGTCTTTTTCAGAGCCGATGTCTCTACCGCCGCGCTTACTAGGGTCGCCATCTCGAGGTCAACGCCGGCCACTTCAGCTCCATAAAGGAGATACTTGAACACGCCCTGAGCGGTCATGCTCGGGTCTTCACCCACAGGCACAGATCCGGAGGAACTCTTCAGTCTATCATGGACAAGAGCACTCCATCTGGTTAGCCAAGAGCGAACGTTTGTGTTCGGGTCCTTCAGAGCTTCGAAACCGGTGGCAGTCTCATCAATGAAAGTATCATCATTCGGCTTGTCCAGGTTGTCCCAGTCGAGGGTAGCCAAGACATCACGATACGCGGGGGCCTCGGGGAAGTTGTCGGCCAGCTTTCTAATTTCTGTCATCCGCGACTCTGAACTCAAGTCTGAAGTTTCCAATGTAGATTGATGGGCTGTAAAGTAAGGTCCAATACCGCTCATTAGAAAGCGTGTGACAAGGACTACAACAGTCAATACGGCTTGATAGCTCTATCGAAGTATGGAGACCGGCGAATAGGAGTTCTCATCCTAAAGCCGTCTCGTCTCAAAGAAAATAATCGATGGCGTACGCGCGTTTTACGACGCCGACTCGCGTCCCACGCGTCACCTTCTATAGCGTTAACCCGCTATGGAAAAATGGGGTGGTGAGAAATGAGGAAAGTCATGCCTCAGGATGACAATATCCACTAGATGGATAACCAGATTGAGGCCGCGTAGTCCTCTGTCATAACCGCCGCATTTGGCGATGGCCCATAGCGGATATCGACGAGCCGTCTGCCTTATCCTGTGGCGGCAGTTGAATTGATTGTCATCAGTTTATGGTGACCAGAAGTTCGATAGACGGAGAGAACACCTTGAGAAGTATTTTAGTACTCTGAATGAGAAGCATGAGAAGGCAACTCGAGTGGGAAGGCGAATTATTATCCCGTTCACTATTCGGGAAGCTACTGCAGATGCTTAGGAAATTATGCGTGTGCCCTTTTAAAGAGGGCCTCTTTCAAGGTTCATGGATCTACGAATACTGCAGGAGTAATGGGAGTAATTCAGGGCAATATGACGTTGATTAAAGAAATCAACAATCTACGGAGAGAAGTGTCACTCTTGAAGGACGAGCGAGCTGCAGAGGAGCGACTGAGTTTGTCTGAAATCTCAGAGATGCCTGGATCGACAATTGAGCACAAATCTACTGAGAAGAGCCAGGAGGCTGACGTGGAGCGCAAGGCCCACAATATATTGTCTGATATCGAACCCTTTTATGGCATCATTACTGTAGCTTCACGTTTCGATGATGAGTCATAGATTTTTACTGACTGAGGTCGATGATTGCTTCGGCCCGAACGGGACGACTCTCGTATCAAACCCACCCACGAGGTCGTATGCTTTGTGAAATCAAGCGAACATCTTATCCCACTCCTCAACTCTACATTTGATTGCCTGGACGGGGAGACCGATGTTGCGAGGAGAAGAACACGATCGTAGAATAAAAGAATAGTCACTTGCCATTGGCGAAAAGAAGTCCGAGATAGTGTTACACGATGAAGGATAGCGTGCGAACAATTAACGTCAATCGGGCAAACAGAGCACGTTAATCGGTATGTTGCTCGCATATCCAATACCCGTTTCCTATCGAAAAAAATTCTCTCGAGTGCCTAACGCAAATCAAAGTATACTGTTGGTATTCTAATAAAATACCTGATAGAATAATTCTATCTTCTATCCGACCCAACTACACGTGAAGTAGAGAGGCACCAGTGAAGTGATGTGTGAAAAAACCACAAAGAGTAGTAGTCCCGTCCTTGGTCGGGTATATCTTCTAGATACACCTGCCAGGCGTGAGCTGCCTTTGGATTCCTCCAATAGACGTCTCGACAACTTCGAATCCTTTGAGCACTCTGTAGGTAATCTTTTTCATGTCTCCCTCTTGCATCTTGACAATATCATAACACCTTGGTTTACTTAGGTTGATGAATTCGTCATAATGCGCCTTGGTCTTAGCATCCGCGGTATCCACGGTAAAAACATTGTCTGGATTCTGGATAACCTTCAGCTGGAGCTCCATCACGTCTCCATCAGGGCACTCAGCGAAGAGACTCACTCTGACCTCGGGCAGATGGTATTCACTGAATGTCACTTGGAAACATGATATTGGCTTGGACCCGAAGATTGTACTGAAGTCAGTCTTGTTGGGGATAGCCGCGTCGACACATCCAAACATCACCACAACTAGCAACTTCATCGGGAAGGGTCGAATGTTCATGTGAGAGATTAACGAAGAGAGATACTCCTAGAGGGCGAGCCTAGTTCTCAGCGAAAGTAGCACGCTTGCCTTGCAAAGGTTTAGTTCTCCCACAAGCTCACAATTTCAGGCAGGAACCGGCAGTGGAGAACGGTCAGGAATCTCAGCCAAGGTACCTGCGTCTATAAAGCGCAAAGTCCACCCTCTCACGGAGGTTTGTATAAGAGCACTCTTCGACCTCGGCCTCACGGTCCTTGGCGCAAGGTCGCTTCGATTGTATCTCAAGAATTATTCTTGAGATACAATCTTGAGGGATCCATTATTGAGGATGTTCATCCTCACAACATAGCGCAAGCATAACTCTCAACTCGTTTCAGTACGTGTGAATCACGCGCGCTTTTGAGTGCGTGGCCACCGGTCCCAACGTGTGCACTCCCGCGTGAGGCACCTGCCAGAGCCTACACACGGGCCTTTGACCCGCTTTTCATCATCGTGTAAACCTTCTAGAAGGTTAGGCCGAGCCGTAAGACCTTTATTCAACGCATCAGATGCGTCGCATCTTCATATGTTCTACGTAGTACGTAGACGTATTACGTAAACTATGCAAGCACAACTTGTGCAGCACAAGTTGTGCTGCACGTTGTGCTGTGAGGAAAACATCAGGCAAAATCAAAACTCTTTACTCACCGAGTCGGCCCCCCTACCCCCCTTCCAATGTTGGATCAAAGCATTAAGTCTCGCAATATCCTAATGTCCGCCCAACATTGGGAAGGGGGGGAAGGGGGGCAGCTATCAACAGTAGTCCACCAGCTGAGTTCCCCAACCACACTACTTTTGCGTTTGACTGATGTCACTTAGTGACCGGGCCGGTCAGACCGGCACTGAGATTTTCTTAGGCAGTGAAAGCTTAGTTTCGAGTGGATTGTACGGAGAACTCAGCATAACTTATGCTAGCCCCAACTCGCAAAATTGAAGCTGCCTCTGCACAGACGATTCCTCTTTATAGATGTTTCGTAATATATTTCTGAGTCATATCACTCATCGCTCGCCATTCATCGTCGATGCACCGCACGAGGAATCAGTGATTTTCCGACAAAACCAGGCAACTACTTTACCAGAACTTCTGATGCAATATGCGTCTCGCTCTGATTCAGAGCCTCTGACAAGCTCGTCTGCAGCTCTGAATCTTGATGAGTAAAAACCATCGATACGGGAGTATGGGAAGAGGAAAAGCGCGCAACCCTTACGCTATTGGCTGCCAGTGATTGACAACTTGGGAGTTGGTGCTCTTCCATGTCTAACAATGGTTCAGATGATGTTGATCAGGTAAAGATGCTAACCATTGAGCCGATGGCGTCATCATCGTCAGACATTTCCCGACCTAGGGAAAGAAGAAAATTGCTTCATCGGCTTACATCGATTATCGATGCGCTTGTCTACGCGAGAAATTGCGATGAAATTCAGTTAATCATTAACTACAAGTGTAGGCTATGTCTGGATGCTCGGAGTCTTAACCCTTACATTTACAGCTCTCTATATCATCACATCGTGCTTCGATGAAGGAGAGGCAGAGATTGATAATATTGGCACAACTAGAGCGTAACGAAATCAGTTTATTTCGGTATCCGGAAGATATAGGAAGAGTCAACAGTCTCCCCGCTAACTTTCCGTAGTAACTTTATGACTCCCGAACTTGTACTTTTAACTGTCTGATTTACAACACGAGTTGAGTTAGTATAGCCGATGGGCCGTATGAAATCCACACTTTTTTCGAGTGGAAACTAAATTGTACACGTTAGACGCGGTAGGTTATATGAGGCTTATATTATGAGCCATAGGTGAGCCGTTTATCGACTATAAGTGATAGTCGATAAAGTCAATAACGGTCTAGACTCTAGAGGTATAGTCTATAACCTGCCGAACAGAGAAAGGGAAGGAGAGCGACACTCTGAGGGTACTGCCGTAGACTGTTGCCTCTTAACCCCACGGATCCGGGGGATGCCATGGGGCGGACTACTGCATCCTGTCACCATCAAACGCCAGTGACAAATTTGCTAATCCTCAGTCTACTCAAGTCGGGTACGCCCATTGGCAATGGTCCATTGCCAAGTTCTATAATCGCCCTTCAGTGGGCATCGCCAACCCCAAACTAGAGGACATCGACAGCACAGCTTCGGGGCCCTCATCCCAGCGGAGGAAAACCCGCACCGCAGTTTTTCCATACGTGAAACCTGGACGGAGAGTGCCTGCCCACTTCGGGATAGTGCGGACCTCCCAGCGCTGGGCGGTCGAGAACTTGCCCGTTTCATACGAACATGTCCAGAGTGTGCCAGCCTCTACTAAGAACACGAGCTATACTCGGCGATCCGCCGCAGTACTCTCCGCCGTTTGTCCTGACACTACCCTCGTTGAGACTTTGACCATTAGCCTGGTCGAGAACGGCATTGCAACACTCATGCTCCTTGAGAATGTCAAAACCTCGCCCGATCTCTGTCCAAGGATCCTGGCGCCCTTCTCTACCTCCCCCTTGCCGGAAGCTTTGGTGGATAAGACCCCCTTAGCAACTGCGACCCTAGACGCCGCTCGCCGCGAGTCTGGTGCTCAGTTGCAATACGCCGTCTCCGCGTCAGCATCTTATGCAAAAAGATTTACTCCGCCTCCGCGGACCTCTTACTCTGCTGCCTTAGCTCGAGTCAAGGACTCACTCGGTGGTATTCCGTTCATTCCCGGTCAACGCCTACTTGATGAGATTTGCCGTGGCGGCCTTGCCATCTACGTCGATTTTAACTCGACTCTGGTCTCGAACATGTCATCGGCGGCTGGCACGACCAACCGTGAACTTCACGAGTCGTGAAGCTGAATTAGCTCTCTCTCTATCCGGTGATCCAGCTCTGATCTAGGCCGGCTTGGGTCTCGGACTTTCGCCTTCGTCTAATGACGACAGAAGCAGATACTGGGCTGATCGCTTCGTTCGCGCCTACTTTCTTTGGTCGTACGCGGTCCTAACCGTCCAGGAGCATAAGATCATCGGTGGCGTCGACAGCGTCTCCATGTCTGATCAGTTGCTTGCCCCGCCAACTGCGGACATCGCGAGTTCCCCGACTCCAGCACGCCTCGGGCTGCGTCACTTCATGCACTGCTTTAGAACCTGACCGGTGTTTCAGGGTGAGATAAGATGGCCTCGTACGTAGTGGCCAACGGCTCTTCACCGATCTACTGATCGACCCCCTCCTCTACGGCCCCATTGTTATGGAGGCTGCCGCCGCTGTTAGATTAGAGTCGTTGAGGAGAACATCCAACCCTCAGAATATACGTGGTCGACGTCGTTAAGGACCAGATGTTGCCGATGGTTCTCCTCATTCGAGCAGCAGGCAGAAATTCTCGAGGGGTGGCTCTAACGGCCCACCTACTCGACCAACCGGTAAGGGCAAGGGTAACTCTAGTAACTCTAGTAGACCCCACAGTAACCCTAGAAAGCTGCCCGATTTGAAAGGAGGCAACAGCCTCACCAGTTAAGTGATGCCTCTTTCTCCAACGTACTTGCAGGCTACAGACGTAGCTTGGCTTTTACACCTTTTAGACTGGATACCCAGTCAATGTGATAAGTGGTCAGCGTTTTATGTTTTTGTCTCCAGCGACTTTGTGTGCCGCGTTCCTCTCCTCTCGCTCTAGGACTTGCAGGCCGCAGGTTGCGGCCACTGTGTGCCTGTCCTGTCTCGTTCAGAAATTCTGTTAGTTTCTTGTTCAAGTGATGCCCGGTAAGCGATCTGCCGAAGCACTCTCTGCTCGCCGTAAAGCAGGATCGTCCAAGAAACGTCGTCGCCTGCTTGTTGCCTTGGCCGCTGTTAACTCCGTTGCCCAAATCGCCGAGTCAGCGACGAGAACCGACCTGTCAGACGGCGACTCTCTCATCGAGCACCTACGAAGAGTCGGGGAAAGTGCTGTTGCGCTGGTTCGTCCTACCCACGAGATTTTTCAAGACGGTTCCGGTCTCAATGCCACTTTGCTCGATCTGGGAGTTGGCCGCGTGGACGTGGAGTGGTTCCACAAGTTGTGGTGGGTTGAACCCCTCTTGCCCCGTTCTGCGTATCTTCTCCCAGTGCATCGTAGCCTTCGACCTCCATGGCATGTTACGCGACGTGGTTGCCAATAACGGCACGCCCAGCGATCCCACAGCGTTGGGAGCAAGGTTTACCATCGCCAGTGACGTGCCGAGAAGCACTCTGCAAATATTTAAATGTGGATAACGACAAGGCCGAGTATGCCGACTACTACGCCAGCCTGTTCATCAAGCTTACCAATGATGAAGACAAGTCTTTACCACAATGCCTGGCTAACCCGAACGGTTTGCCGTGTGGTATAACAGGTTTGCCTTGCAGTTGCCGAAAGCAAAAAGTCATGGACCCAGTTTACGGGTTCCGCGTTGTGGTTTTCGACCACTCCCGAACTCGCAGATCAGGGGTTTCACATTTAGGAAATCCACACTGAGCGTCCGAAGCGTGCGTCAAGGCAAGCGAGAAAGTAACCGTTTTTAGTCAACTGCGGGCTTTTTAGGATTCACCAGAAACGAACGTGTTATCGACATCTTGTCGAATTTGAGATTACTTGTTATTTCGACACTTAGCTGTCGATATCAAGCTCGTTTATCGGCTTCGACAATGATTGTCGTAATTAAGTTGTCCATATTTACAGTGCAAATTTTACACATAGCAAGTTGTAGCATACTTTCGCCAACGTTGTCGAGAATATTCGACAACTTCTGACCGTTTAGATTTCGACAGTATTTGTCGAAAGTCGCATATTTCGCTGCAGAGCGGCAGTTCAGACAACTTGTCGTTCTTATTAGCTAAAGTTGTTTTCAACAGTTTGTCGAGGTTGTCGAAAACGGACGATGCTCCGCCTTATTTCCCTCGAAATACCTCTAGCTACTACTGCATAGTTTTTGTGGTTCGTGCGAGGGTCGTGAATTCTTTCGACGAACTTTACATCGACTTGGAGGACGCTAGCTCGCTCAGTGCTGGAATATGTGTTCACTTTCCTCAGCTGAGCTTAGGAGTTTCATCACTGAATATAGTAGTTCATATACGAATTGAGGTAGAAATATACAGAAATCAATAAGAATTTCTTGGAATTTCCTCAGAATTTTCATAATTGTTACTGACACATGTAGTTGACCATGAGCATATTTTCCCACACTGCTCTAGCTAGTTTATATACTAAATGAATTCTCGGGATATGAATAACGTCGTCACGTCATCGGGAGCCCCCTTGCCTGTTGGTGTACACTATCCAGAGGCTCCTCATCAACAACAACAGCATGGTGGTCATCATAGTCATGGCGGCAGTAAACACACTACTGCATCGGGGAACACTACGTAGAAATCATTCATACTTCCACTTGAAATTCGCCATTCAATTCAGGGCCCTCACACCGACCTCGTCAACCAACAGTCGTGGAGATATGTCTGGTAACAATGGGGAACCAATGATAGTGATGCCTTAATCTGCCTCGTAGTCGCTCCTGGAGTTCGAAAACAGTTTCTACGGACAAAACTGTGTAAACATTTCCTACGTGGTTGCTGTCTTTATGGGGATAAATGTAATAGTAATTCCATCAACGCTTACTCTGTCGAAGGGGATTTCCCACAGGCACATACGCCCACGACTATAGTCAGATCCAAGTCAGACCGGACCTGCGGAAAACCAGAATGTGCCAGGCCAATTTGGAGGGGAGATGTCCCTATAGAGCAGAGGACTGCCAATTCGCTCATTCCACAGAAGATCTCAAGGCTACGCCTGGTCTCTTTAAAACTGTACGCTCTCAATTACAGGGGACTTGACTTGAGTGTTCATGTACAGGTCTTGTGCAGTTGGTGGCAAAAAGGCAAATGCGATATGGGGGATAAGTGTCGCTTCGCTCACGGTGAGGAGGAGCTACAACGTCCGAGTAAGATAGCTGGAGGCGTGGGAAAATATGTACATGGTCAACTACGTGCGTATTAGACTTTCGCGGAAATTCTGAGGAAAATTGAGGGAATTATCGTTAGTTTCTCTACACTTCTACCCGAATTTGTATGTAAACTCCTATAGTTAGTGAAGAATCTCCTAGACTCGTCCGAGGAAACCGAACATATGTTCCAATACTTCCTACAGGAGGTCATTTCAGGTGCTCCCTCTGGTCCAGAAAATATCTCAATCACGCCTGGCAGTACGCCTTTGCAGAGTCCATCGTTGGTAGAGGTATTACTATTACCAATTTATTTTCCGAAGTTGAGAATATGACGTTCAGGAAAAAGAAGTGTCCTCCCGCTCGGCGACTCCTCCAGGGCTAGACAATGTAACCTCCGTATCTGTGATGCAGCGACCGCGTACTTCTGATACCAACAATCGATCTGTTCCTCAAGGGCTTCAGCGAAATGTGTACTGACATGAACTTAACTGTCTCGCGAAGGGAAGGATGCCTTCTCAGTTTCACGCCTCCTCCCGAAATCGCCATAAGCCCGGCTGAGGTCCTGAAGTACCAACAGAATCAATTCGCCTCGGTCCTCTCTGGTTCGTTGGCAGCAGCAGCTCAGGCAGCAGCGATGCAGCAGAGGCCGACACAGGATCCTACGGTAATACTAAGTCGGTGCTCTCTCAGGGACCCAGCTGGCTTTCCCCGTGGTTCGATAACAATGGGGAAAATGTCACTAGTGTGGGGGCATTTACATGAGAACTCATTGAAGAATGTTTTCCTAAACATGTGGAAAAATCGAAGTGAAGTCTCTCCGGAAAGGTTATAGGTTCCTGCATGCTTCCCTGTGCCCCCTCGTATGGTTATCTCCCTCAGGCATATGCTGCTCAACAGCAACAGCAATGGGCTATTGCAGCTGCAGCCGCTACTGCTGCTACTGCCGCTGTTGCGTCCATCGCGGGCGCTTTCGAACCTACGCCGGTGAGTAGTGGTGGAAGAGGTGACTGAGGAGTTCCTTTTGTGATAGGCTCAGCTGCAGAACCTGAGTTTGATAGCTGCAAGGTCGCTACATCAACAGGCTGCAATGCAGCAGATGTAGTATGGGCATGCGGGGGTCGAGGTTCCTCATTGTAGCAGTGGACAGGTACATTTCGTATTCAGCTCAGCAGCAGCAAGCTATGCTGGTACAGCAACAAGCGGCAGCGGCCTTAGCTGCACAGCAGTGGCAACGTCAACAGATGATGCCACAAATACAGCGACAACAGCAACAAGAGAATATATCCCCTGAGGTAGAAGTGGAGGGTGTGGGGATCGAACCTGCGTCAACTAAAGTATTCAGGATCAGCAATGCTATGACCAGCAGCAGCGAGGGGAGGGACTACAAGACCAACAGCATGCGTCGGCGAGTGCAGTTGACATACCCGGTTCGGAGGTAGGTTGAATATTAGTCCATCTCCGTCCATGTTGATCATCGCTTTGATATAGGCTCTGGAAAGCAGCAATGCATCGATGGTTCGGACAGGCTCTGATCGCCAAGTCAATTTGCATGCTCCGTAAGTGTATATACTGTCGCTGGGGAGATTTGAACCCGGGTTGCTTGTATGTTAACACGCCTGTTTATCCATTAGGGTGCAGACTCCTGAGGCGGACACATACTCAATAAAGGACTACCCATCGTCTAGCAGTCTCTCAGACATGGCCACGGGAACCACCACTACCGAGTCCAGGGACGTTGCTGCCCCTCTGCCTAACATTAAGTCCTCGGCGGCTATCCTCAGCGGCGCGGGTCTCAAGCATGTCTCCAGTATGAGCATACCAGAACACGCACACCTCAGCGACGATGATATAGCCAACACCAGCAGCCTTATGAAGGCGTTCGCCTCCAGTCCGGCCCTTTGCACTGTTGGATCCCTACTGGGTAGTAGCTTTTGTCGGGTCCACCAACGAGACAATAATCAGATCAATTGTTGATCAAGTTGATAACCCAATTATAAGATGCTCCTTAGGCTTATCGAATCAAGCGGAGCCACTAAGTGCTGAGGAAGAAGCGGAGTATGCAGAGTTTGGGGATCTAGCGGAGTTGTACAGTGAAGATCCCTCCGTCCAAGCGACCACAGCCTTCCCGAATTACGATACAGCATCATCGCATCACAGTATTGGAGGCCTGGCTCAAAGCGCCAGTTTCAAGTAGGGTTCTCAAGTCCCAACTTAGTCGATTTTTCTATTAGTTGCCTCCCAAGCCTGCTGGCGTCTGTGGGAGAATCCCCACGCCCGAGGGCTGGGTCGGATCCGGCGATGCATGGTAAGGTTGATATGCGTGAGGTTCATAATGGTGTTACTATCAGACCCCGAGATCTCTGATGCTCTTTTTGCTGAGCTACAAAATCTAGTTTCCAGTCAAGACCGCAGCGTCAATGATGATGTGCATTAGAACTGATGACGATGAACATTATAGGCGTTATTTCTAAATCATCACTATTTGTACACGCTCGTAGACTAGAGAGTTGCTGAGCTACCACTCTGTAAATTGATCGCGATGTTACTACCATCAAGACTGCAGTTTATACTCATACAAATTTCTGTACTTCTCATAACTGTTCTGAAGGCCTTCTTAGACTGTCATGATGGTAACCTTTTTCTGAGACGAGTTGTCTCGGTTTTCTATGCAATGTCCGCGTGGAGTATCGCGGATAGTATTAATACTGTTCGATGTACTTGGTGAGAATCGCCAACATTTCATCATCATTATCATCATCACTCAATGTTCCATAGTTCCTCGATCATAACAATCTTTCTATTCTCTCCTACTGCTATTGAGTTCTTCGTTAGTACTCTTATATGCGAAGATCTAGAGCGACACGATGATAATAAAAACTAGCAAGTTTTAATATGTTGAGTGGGACCAGAAATGCAGGTGTTTCAAGACATGGTTGGAATCGACTTGGACACCTGTCATTCCTAGTAGCACGCGCTCGTGAGGTTTGCAGCACCGTCGTTGTGTGAGATTCAGCAACAGCTCGAAAAAATCAGCTCCCGAGTATTGGTGCAGAGTTTTTACTCCTATCACGTAAGTAGATGACCAGTAGAGTTAGGTCTGGTAGACTGTTTTAAGAAGTGTAGGTGATAGCCGGCCCTCCGCTGTTTGGTATGCCAAGTCAACACTAACATGCAACGGAACCCATATAGGGAAAGGTCGGTGTTATCAACGATGTAACAGCAGCAGTAGTAGTAGTAGTTGAGTTCCCTGTTGTGCACTGGCCTGCCGCCGAAGATCAAGGCGGGATCCACTTGTAGTGTATCATCTACTCAGAACGAGGTCTCTACTGCACACGGCAGCTGAAAGCCATCGTCGGGTTGTTAATGTTGAAAGGATATCGAAAGGACCGTAATCTGCCTTGCATACCATTGACTAGATCATGGTCGTGAGTTATTAGTGGTATCGAACGGTTGATGATACTAGGCAATGTGAACACAACCAAACCGTAGTGGTGACACCATCCTCATGCGATAGCTACACTCTGATGCCACTAGTAACATCTTTACTGGTCAATGACGATGGATCATGAACGGCCTCGGAGACTGTCGTACCTTCGAAAAATGTGGCTTGAGATCAACGGCCAACAACTGTACTTTGGAGTTTATTGCGGTCCACTTTGAGGATCGATCGAGCAACGGCTGATAGATCGTTATGTGTACCAAACTTGTCTGCAACTGAAAAAGTGCACATGGCCGGAATCGAACCCGCGACCATGGGGTCTAGAACAACGATGCTAACTGATTACGCTTCTGATACAATGCCATCAATCTCCGTGCCTCAGTCTCCATACCCTTCGACTGTGTAATTCGGAACTCCAAATTCTGAGCCAACTGAGCAAACCCGTGACTGTATCCCAGCTAGATCGTCGTCTTCCCTACAGTGACTATCTGCGTCGTGTGGTAATTCACTTTGCTGGTCACATTGTATGCCCATTGATACATGCTCGATTCCGCTTGGCCCACTGAAACGATGATTCTCTCGAGCTCCGGTCAGCGAGCTCATACCCGAGGTGATAACTTGGCTGACATGGTCGTGTATTGCTTGCATCTTACTCAGCGCAGCACGAAGGATACTACTCATGCTCAGCAGTTTATCCGACTGCATTAGAGACTTCGTATCGAGATCACGATACCTGAAAGCGTTGATCTAAACTACCGCGCGCCACAAAATTATGTTACACTTTCGATAATTGGTCTCTCACAACTTTCTCATCCGCCATCCACTTGCCCAGCATCCCAGCTCTGAAAAAATCTTCTGCAGCACGCATGCGCACGTGTGATCACGAAAAACAGTATCAAAAGATTATCAGCGAACTTAGTGGACTTTCGCTACTGCTAGTGACCAGCATATGATATGTAACATGTCTCACCTGGTCTTCACCTCTTGCTCGAGAGAAAAGAGCTTAGTGAGCTCAGCGGCGTAGTTGGCTTCACGGGAGGAGTACTTCCCAGTTTTAGACTCAATTTTCTTCAGAGCTTCCTCCGACTAAAGGATGACTCTTGACCAACCAAAAGAGACGTGTGGAGTTCAATGGAAGAGGACGATTCTAATGCGGACCTTACCTGCAGCACCCGCGAATGCAGCCTGCCGACGCCCTCTTTGAACGAGTCAAACCTGAGATGATAGGAGCAAAAGGTATCTCCTGAGGATCTAACCCGGGATCTCACTCGCCAACGGTTCGCTCGACTTTACGAGCACACTGTTCCAAGGTCATGCCGTATTGACTTGCAGGAGCAGCTCCCAGTTGGGTAGCCATTATACGGCTTGAACTGTATGGAAGAGTAACGCCTGAGGTACGGTAGTAATGAGCCATTCAAGCCACACTTCATCGAGGCATCTCCCAAGGACGACACAGACGTAGTACTTACCAAGCATGTCACTGACAGTAAACTTAGGTGACTCTCCCTGATTCTTAAACGTCCCTTCTGGATATTCCCGAGCTAGGTTCGGCGCCATACCCACGGTTAGAGGTCCAAGACCATCGGATTCGACGGGACCTGACTTAGAGTATCACCTACAGCAATCCGCACTGACTCACTTGGGGCGACGGCGCTGTTCTGTGGGACGCTGACTTCGTGCTTCACGAACTTCGACAGCTGCCCGGGGTCATTCGAGCTTCTTACATCAACTTCGTTATAATACGCAGCCGCTGACGATACTGTAACGAGTAAAGTCAGGGGGCGAGACAATTGTGAAATAATCATAGTGGTTTGGAAGTAATGGCTATGAGAGATAACTCCGTATGGACTGCGGAGAACAACGCCAAAATCCCATTATGGCCCTGGAGTAGATTTTAGTGGTTTTAAGACTGGAGCTAATCCGAACCGGTTACAACGCCGTACAAGTCGTATTTATGATTAGACAGCAAGCACAGGAGCGAAGCATGTGGTCAGCGCGGCAAACGACCATTAAGATGAATAAAACACCCACCGTGGGGCTCGAACCCACGACCACAAGGTTAAGAGCCTTGCGCTCTACCGACTGAGCTAGACGGGCAAGTTGATCAAATATGCTTTCTAATGGTACTACAGTGCAACACCTTCCTCAATCACTACTAAGCGGCTTGATGAGATCTCGATCTCGGCGATAGTAAAGGCTCGAGATGTGTGCAACTTCCGATGGACGTGACCTGCGCACAAACAGTGTCCCCTTTCCATCTACTATTCATCCCAATTCTACGATATGAACCATACGATACCACAGCATCAGTACGAGGTCCCACTACTACCTGTGGCTTTCTTGGCTGTACCTTCCACCATGACCACCCGCAAAGAGGTCTACACAAGTCTTCGACGAAATCAAACCCGGAGCGCCGAGATCGTTGCCCTTATCATTGAAGGTGGTAACTTTGCTGTGGCTGAGTGTGTTATGAAAGGTTAGCCTTCCGTTGTCGACTTGTGGTCTAATAACGCCCCAGATGTAACCCATCCGGCTTCCCCCGACTACATTCGTTCCCCAACATGTTTCGAGCTGGCCGGTGCCCACACCAAAGCAGGCTTGTTGTGGCTTTGTACGAAGTCCTTCATATTGGTCTTGATACGGCTGTAGCCCTCGGAATCATCAGCTGCTCAAGAACGAATGCCTTACAGAGTTACAGCCATACTTCCTACTGCTCGAAGCGTCTCCACTCTGCGACTTATCCGATTTTCCACACCTAAACTGACACCTCCGATGACCACTGGCCACTCATCAATTACTCAGTCATAGAGGCGTCTCTGGTGCTACCCCGATAGTATACTCGACTCCAATACCCTGGCGCGTTCATCACGGCCTGCATGTTGGACGAATCGTTAGCGTATGGCTTACCATAGTAGACCTGAGTGACAATCACGTTACACCAGAAGTTTCTGCACTGCAAATTAGTTAACTCTAGCGGTTCCTTGCAGCCCGAGGGAGAAAGCAGCGCTCAAAAGAGACGAACTCACGAGCTTATGATTATCGAATTGGGTTCAAATGCGGTCTAAAGCATAGCGTTGAGATATCTCCCCAAAAAGAGGGCATCCACGGTAGAGTGCGCTGGCTACCGTGAGAAAGCCAGCGCACTCTACCTGCCGCTGGAGCTAGTGAATTATCGTTATAATAGGGTACCATGAAATCAGTGTATTGCCGGTTGTAAGGCTGTCACTACCTTCCCATTGACTCCTAGATACTGCAGATCATGCCCGAGGACGTACGACGAGAGGTCCAGTTCGAATCCATGCTCCTTATGAGCGGCCTCGATGGACCTCTCATGTCTGATACGCAGATCGTTGCCAGCACGGTCGAAATCCATGTTGTAGGAGGAGGAGGAGGAGAGGTGGGAGACGGTCAATAGGAGGCGAGCGAACGATCAGTCTTGCTCTCTTACACGATCATGGAATTCCTCAACGCTCTTTAAGTGTTTTAGAAACACTGTTTTTTTCTGAGTGAAGACTCTCTCTGTTGTTGGGGGAGGGCCCTAGTTGAGCCTTCTCGCCATCACAGGTGGAGGGCGATATGCTACCAGACTAGTTATGCCGGGAAACAGGTACCCACGCAGAAGCTCTCTATTGAGATGGCCACATTCAGGGGGTGTCTGTTGGTCTTGAACGATATCGAGTATGGGTCGCTCCGTTCTTGTAGGGGGTATCCATAGGTTCTACTATACTTGATTCAAATCATGTCCGGTTTTGGCCTACCTCCCAGGCTCCTATCTCGATGGTCGTAGATGAACTGACATCGTTAAACCCATCCACGTCAGTCGGCAGGATTCTCTCAGAGTAAACGTTTATAAACTTCCGGTTTCAGCGTATGAGTGTAGCAAGACCTCAGCAGACATGTGTTACCATACGATCCACCCGTGTTGGGTTACAGTACATCACCACGTAGGAGTTGCTATTAGATTTCTTCGTAATGGCTAGAGAAGAGGAGGACGATCGAAGCGAGTCGGGCAGTGACAGCGGAAGGTAGTAGTAATAGGGCACTGACTATGCTTCCAATGAGTGTGTTAGCGACTCCTTGGTGTCTAGCGGCTCTGATGCCTCCAGTGTGGACTCCTCTCCCACTGAGAGGCGCAGGAAGGCAGCGGCTGCTAAGGTAGTACTCGGGAGAGGCAGGGGTGTGTGCTCATGGGCTTGATGCAGTCAAGCGGAAGTTTGTATCTTTTATAAGCCGTTGGGGATGTCGGTGAGCACTATTAGCATAATCGTCATTTGAGCCGTCTACCATGATGAAGGTCGTGGGGTCGATTCCCATGACCGGCTTTATACCATGTGTGAATTTCCTCTGGTTCTCCATAGGCAGCTGAGCGGAAACGGAAAGAGGGCTCTGGTGACAACAACTCTCGGCCGAAGAAGAAACCAAAAGCGTATAAATTCCTCGACTTGGAGGCTGGGGAGGAGGACTCTGATGAGGAGGAATTCGAGGAGGAGTCAAGGCCGTCCAAAGGTGGAGGTATTCTGAGGTTGTTGATAGTATGATATGTGGTAGGTCGGGCAGCGGCTCATCAACAGGATGACTGGGCTAGTCGACCTAATCGGGGACAGAAGAGGTTTGGAGACCTTATTCAGAGGTGAGCATCCATACAGTGTCATACGTTATGCAAAGTAGTATCTTCGACGACGCCTTCAATTTTTGAAAGTTTGGAAGTCAACTTTGAGTACTATCAACATGATATCAATATGAACTGGTTTAGGAGTGTTCCGTATTGCGTACCGCCACTCTCCTCATGGTGCCCAGATGGTTGGTTGTCGTATTCTCGAAAATAGATATGCTTAACGGGTTGTGTTCGCATTATATGTACATGGTCAACTACATGACCATGAAGTGGCCATGTTCACCATGTGAAAATTGTGAGGGAATTTTTTTGGCAAAATCTTGTTGGTTTTTCCTTTGCGCTCTACCCGAATTCGTATGTTAGCTCCTGAGCTAAGCTGAGGAAAGCGAACATATATTTCTCAAACACTGGTGCATGTTGTGGCAGATGGGAGGAGCGTGCGAAGAATGAGGAGCAGCAAGCTGAGCATGCTGCTGCTGAACATGAACAGAGGCGGGAGGTCGGAGAGCAAAGACGAGAGATAGAGGCCAGGTGGGGTTGGAGACCAAGGCGGTATTAGGAAGTAGTGACTTGTATTAGGCGACAAGCAGCAGCTGCTGCAGCGGCTGCTAAGATGGTGCACCCTAGTAGACAGAGGAAGGAGGGGAGCGGGGGTAGGAAGCGACTTGAGGAGAGGAGGGCTGCTAAGAAGAGGGAACAGCAGGTAGATGTGGCGGAAATGTGGTATGAAATGTTTTGTCGCATTTGGGTAGAGGTTTTGTCGTGGGGGAAGCTTCTTTTTTCAGCGCTCGGGAGCGGCAGTGAGTTCACCGTCCCCATCTGATGGGGAGAAGAGGGAGCGTAAGAGAGCTGAGAGGCATAGAAGGGCTGAGGGGTAGGGGGGTAGTGCTGTTGAGATGTGAAGGAATTATGGTATCAGCGTAACATCATCGCCTTCGCCGCCCCCAGCGTCTGAGCCGATGTATTCATCAGCTGATGAAGGGGGATATGGTAGGATGAGGAGGAGGACGGATGTTGTTGAAGCGATGTTGCCTCTTGGTAGATTCGTTGGGCGAGCTACCTGAGGCGGGCCCTCTGCCGGAGCCATCGGATTCGAAGTTGTTCTTGGTATGATGGGAATGGCATCTATCAGGGATTATGATTAAATGGGAATATATATAATTTTGACCGGAAAGTTTTGAAAATTTCGAAAAGTTTATGTTTATTTGTGTTTTCAGGTAAAGTGCTTTGATATCGGCCACGAGAGGGAAATCATCACACGCCTTAGTACGAAGTATGAGCAGTTTCGAAAGAAGGGCGTCAAGACGGGTAGAAACGGGAGGGGGCAATGCGTTACCAAATCGATCACGTGATCGATTATGTTTTTTTCAGGTATACTATCAGCTTTTGCAAGTGATAGTTTGAAGGGCTATATCTACATAGAAGGCAAGAGTGTTAACCATATCAAGAGGTTCGTAACCGGCATACGGCAGATTAACACGTAGGTCAACGGCAACAGCTCTTACAGTGTCTGTCACTAGACTACATTGATAATTCTCTGTTAGTAACTCTGTGAAGGTGGTACCGGCCACAGAGATGCTTGGAGTCTTCCGCTCTGCACAGGAAGCAGCTAAAGGGCGCTTTGTGCCACTGAAGATGGGGGAGTGGGTCAGGATTAAAAGGCATCCTATTTATAGTGTAATAACCCTGCATGTCGATCGCGTGGTCGGCGGTACGGTTTTATTCACGCCCAACCGTATAAAGTTTGGGAGAAAAAATTGTGTCGGTTTTGGTAGTGGTGAACGAAATTGGAGAAATTCGTTTCTGTGTGGCGTTTTGTATTTATCCCTTTTTTCTATCAGAATGATCTCGCTCAAGTAGTTGAATGTTTCGACATGGACGTTGAGGTCAAGATTCGGCCTAGGATCAACTATGAAGAGGATCCGAGGTAGTAGCAGCAGCATAACTACTCGCAATTTTCATATCGTTGGCAGGGAGGCTCATTCGGCCTTATTCGGTCGGAGGACTACTAAGAAGCCCCGACCCCACGCGAGTTTCTTCGATCCGATCGAGGCTGAGAATAGGGGAGGTAGCTTGAGAGATAGGGAAAGATTCTCGGCGCACAGCGAAGATTTTGGGGTCAGGACAAGGCGCGGTAGAGCGAGTGAGATACCGCACGGCGACTAATCCTAATGAGGTATTTGATCAGTATAGGAACGAGAGATATAAGGTGGGTCGTTCATGTGAGAGTTGACGGAAGAGTGGTATGAATAATTCGGGCAGGACGGGTATCTCTATCGCCGATTTAAGCGCAACGCTCTTCTTACTGGTGATGATGTTCAACCGAGTATCACTGAAATATCCGAGTTCTTGGGAAGTGCAGCGGCAGGTAATTTCCCATACCAACTTTCCCGCAAATCATGTACTCCTTCTTCAGGCGGAGAAGGGCAAGCTTTATTAGCTGCTGCGGCTGCGTCCATGGTAGGAACGAACGTGGGCGAGTAACTCGCATCCCTAACTGTTCGAAGTGATCCTAGTATTACTAGGACATTGCTACAGTACATCCACTGAGATAGTAGTCGTGTACCTAGGAACTTTATGGAGTGATTCCCTTTCCCTAGCCCTTGTTGGTTTCAGTCGGAGGCATCGGGTAGTCGTGCAGCAGCTGCGTTGTCGGTTGGAGACTCGGTTGTGGTTAATGGTGGCGATATGAAGAATCTCCGAGGGAGAGTGGTAGGGAGGGGAATCCCCTCAGGGGATGGAGTCTTATGATGGAAAACATTTCGCTCCGCTGTTGTTCTCAGGTAACTATTGATACTGATCGAAGACGTGTGAATGTGGATCCAGGACATGGACGGGCTCAAGTGACCGTAGCTATCAAGGATCTTAGCAAACATTTTGACATGGGCGATCACGTCAAGATCCTTGATGGTAGGAGGAAGTGTCCGTATGTCATCTTGTTGTCCATAGTTTTGTCTCAGGAGCATCAGCTGGTGACACTGGTACTGTTATTAAGCTGGATGGCTCGGTGGCGACTATCCTCACTGATAACGAGCCTCGAGAAGTGAAGTGTCAGAGTTCTAACTTGAAGTTGACATCGGATGTCTCCAAGGGAATCGAGAAGTGAGTATCTCTTAGCTCATTGATAGCAGCTGATTAGTAGAAGTACATCGTTGTTGTCTCAGGATTGGCCAATACAAGGTTGGTGACTTAGTCACTCTCAATGTGAGCGGCTCCTCCGGAGTTGGGGTCATAGTCAGCATAGCAGCTAGTGGTAGGTCCTGAGGGTTTATGTTGTCGTCACGACTTGGAGATGTACTTACTGGATTACGCAGGTACGACGGCTAAGATCATTGGAAACGACAATAGACCTCGGAATGTTCCTGTGGGAAGCTTGGGCCGACATCGAGACTCCAACGTGGTGTTCCTAATGGATGTTAATAACAATCCGTTCAAGCCAGGGTAGGTTCCGAGTTGGGCGTGGGATCGATCCTCTGTGCGCGCATTTTTAAAGCGAGATTTTCTTGGTCTTCAGGGCTCTTTTGAAGATCCTTGCACCTCATCCATTAGCGGGCAAAGGGGCCCAGGTGAAGCACATTATGAACAATGTTGCATGGGTCAAGGTGAGGACTATCAAGTTGCGCGCGCCCGATTGATCGATTATAGTGTTTGTAGGTTAATGATCGTCTTGAGGACGGGGGTATAGTAGCTATCACAGGACACCAAGTGGAGCTCGTTGCCAACCGCGCCTTTACCGGTAAAGGGAAAGGAGGCAAAGGGAAGGGTAGAGTTGTTGACCTAGTGAGACGACGCCGCTAGTATCATTTCAGGACGGGGCGGTGTCAGGCCGGATGATTTGGCGCCACAAGTGGGATCCGGTCATGATCAGCATCATCATCAGTCATCTGGAGGCGGCAGTTGGGGTTCGCAGTGGGGTGGTGGCAACAACAAAAGTTGGGGGTGGAATTCTGGAGGGTCTTCGTCATCTTGGGGTCACCATGAGAAGGGCAGTGGGGGTAAAGGAGGTCACCATGGTGGTGGGAAGGGAGGAAAAGGAGATTCGAGACTTGTCGGGAAGAGGATACTCATTATCAAAGGTGACGTGCTCTTATCACAGGCTTGTCGCGGGGCGATAGGATGAGATCAGGTATTTACAAGAGCCAGCGTGCCAACGTCATTGATGTCACGGATACTAAGGTCTACGTTCAGCTAGAAGCGAAAGTCAATAAGGTAGCTTGTTTGAGAGGTCTCGAGTTCGATACCCAGAGCGGTACATTTCTTAGCGTTTATTCATCCCGAAGGACCAAGTGCGTGTCGAGTCTGAGATCGCTGCAGCGGAGAGTTCAGGGAGGTATGGAGGAGGAAAGGGAAGTCTCCATGCACCTCCACCTGGAATGATGGGGAATCTTCACGCGCCACCGCCTGGGATGGGATGAGGAGTCTCTTGTATATTTCTACTCGCGGCGACGAACGTTCAGTACCGAATTGAAGTGTTGCGTAGTCGTCGCGATAGGGAACAGTGTAGCAGTTCCTAAGCAGGGCGATGTTTCGCAGTGTCCATGTATTACTGTGCATGCCCTTGAAGACTCCTGCTGTGGGTTCGATCAAGAGGAAAGCTGGAGTACTTGCGGTAGGTGCTGCCAAGAGAGGACGGGGGACGCAACTAGATCGGAGTGAGTCATTCGCTGGGGTATTCTTGGTGCATCTTACTCCATAGATATCTCCTTCGTGCCGCCTAGTGGTACCCGAGACTTCTTCCCGGACGATATGCGCATTCGGGTGAGGTTCATTGGCGACTGAAGTCTCGTCTTTCGGTGCTTCGTTCGGTGATGCTGATGGGGAATAGCATGCTAAGAAAGGTTGGATCTCAACTCTAGCTTCTCTCCAACGTAGCCAACAAGTTACAGGTTGAGGACTGATCAACATGCTGGTTGATGTTCCCAATATTCTCTAGCATTGTTTTCGCTTGTCTCCTGTATTGCCCTACCTGGAGTAAGCACCTCTTCAGTGGGGTTTTGTCGACATGTCGATGATGAGGTTGGATGTGACCAATTCAAGAGCTATGCACAGTAGTCATGGTGTCTGATAGGGATCCCGGCCCACGATGATGTGTTATCATCGGCAGTGAATTTAATCTGTGGGCGTCGATCCTCCCCTGTTGCAATGGTGCTTGGCGTTGAAAAAGCATAACTTGGATGAGCCGGAGAAATCCGAATCGAACTACAATCGTCGAGCTGAAATCCAAGTCAGACTATGGATCGTCTTTCCAAGTATTTGGTCGCACCGTGCGACTCGCACGTGGCTCGATAGGTTATCGTGTTTCCATAGAACGAAGAGCAGCGGCGAGTTAGACCCTGCTCCGAGCTTGATAGAGGGATTGCCCTGCTCATTGAATCACTTGCACTTGTTGTAGGTGCTCATTCGCTTGTCAATATAAAATCCTGTCAATAACAGGGTTCAGAGGCTTCCCTCAACGAGGCAGCTCGGCCTGTTTCAGTGGAGCCTCCACTGTTGGGGGCGCTGGTATCGGTGTTGATGCCCCTGTTGGTCTCACTTTTACTGAAATACCCATTACGGGTTTAATGAATCTGGAGGGAGCGTTGGGATTGTCAAAAAAAGTGGACAGACTCGTGGCTCTTGTTGAGCCTCGTGAGCTTGACGATATCGACGATATCATATCGTCACCATCCCCGTGGAGTCCACGACTGACTTATCGGCACCACAGGGCCATGCTACTGCTGTACGATCCGGTGTGATCCTGTGATTATCGTCATAATATGACGATAGTGGAGTCGCTGATACTCATCCCGCAGTGAGATTCCCCGAGCCGTGGTGTCAGACTATTGCAGACTCTGCAATAGCAGAGAAATTGTGCACTCGAAATATGGGTCTCATATAACCTAGTTCTGCAGTGGCACTTTCATCCGTTCAGAACCGTGTGATGATCAACCTCTAAACTCTCGAAAGCATTGAATTTGAAACTCCATGAGAGCTATATAGTGGGAGGGCAGTGACTGTCTCTGGAATTTGACATACCATTGTCTTCAGGACTGGCTGTTCAGCCAGTGGCGTGCCGTATCTGCTCAACATGGATTTTCGGAGTACGATGCCCCCGTCTTGGAGAACGAGCATCTATATAAGAGAAAAGCTGGGGAGGAGATCGTCGAACAAATGTAATGCGGAACCGGGAGTTCTCTTCAGTTATCAGGAGGCTTGTCACGCTCGTTTCCAGAGAAGTCATCCCTCTTTTCGTAGGTACAACTTTGTCGACAAGGAGGATCATCACGTGACACTACGTCCCGAGATGACGCCGACTTTGGCGAGGATGGTCTTGTCAAGGGTCAGGATGAGCGCTGAGGGAAGCCATAATGCGGCGGCACAGATGGCTGAGGTAACGCGGGGCTTGATTCTAACTAAGTTGTGATTGAGCTCCTGCTGCTGCTCAGCGGTGAGCGAAGTTAGCTACTTCGGAATTCTGCTACGAGTCTCTTCTGTGTTCGTCAGGTCCTCCCTCTAAAGTGGTTCTCTATACCACAATGTTGGAGATTCGAGACAACTCAGCGTGGTCGGAAGCGTGAGCATTATCAGTGGAACTGCGATATCGTCGGTGAGGTTCCTTCCTATCCGAATCTTCGCCTGACTTCCTCCCTACTACAGGCATCTCTGATATTACTGCTGAGCTCGAGCTCCTGGCGACGATGGTTGGTTTTTTCAAAAGGGTTGGCCTCACCAGTGCAGATGTTGGTATCAAGTAAGAACTCTCCGAAGCCCTTGATCATCAAGGTAAGTAATACACGAGTTGTATCATGTCTCCTCAGGGTGAACTCTCGGGCTATTCTACAGTCTGTCTTGAAGGCCTCTGGTGTCGGTGCCGATGAATTCGCTAAGGTCTGCGTCGTCATCGACAAAATAGACAAAATTGGACGGGAGGAGGTGCGTTTGAAATTATGGTAAGTGTGTCTCTTTCTTGACGTACAGGTAGTGACGAAGCTGATTGGAGATATGAATCTTCAGATTTCCGTGGCAGGTGAGCTACTGGTACTCGACATCGGAGTTATACGCTCACTGTTATCAGAGCGTGTAGTGGGCGTTGTTTCTGCTGCTTCAATCGAGGAATTCAAGAAGCTTGCCGATGAAAACTGCACTCGAGGTGAGAGGTGAGTGGCATCGAGTTGTCTTCAATAGCGGCTCTTGCATTTGTCGATGAGCCGTTCTGAATGGCTCCAGATGAACGGCCCGCTCATGTGAGGAGCTCCGTTATATATAATCCGTTTCAATCTAGCTACCATCAGCTTGCCGCACCCTCCTTCTTGGAGTGAACGAAGTTCACTTGGTGTATATCCTCTTTCAGAAATGACCGATTTGGAGGGACTATTCGATCTCGCTCGGAACTACGGCATCGATGACTGGCTTGTTTTCGATGCATCAGTTGTCCGAGGCCTTGCATATTACACAGGTAACCGGAGCGTGGGGCTCTACGCTCGTCATTATAGCAGTGGACCTTATCCCATCATCAGTCTTCGTCATCAAAAACCTTTCTCATTGAAAAAATTTGTCGAATCTCATACTGGTAATGTTCTTAAAACAGCGTTCTAGCTTCGCAGGGATAACTCCATACCTGCTTGTGAGATTACAAGGATCGGGAGTGTACGATCCGATGCTAGGTATTGTTTGGGAGGCGTTCGATCGAAAGGGTGAACTTCGTGCTATCGCTGGGGGAGGACGTTACGATAGGTGAGGCTCATGCTCTCACTAGGCCTCATGTCCTTGGTGGCGGTCTCTGTATCGTTCTCTCAGGCTTTTATCGCTGTATGGAGCCCCATCGGAAATACCATGCGTTGGTTTTGGATTTGGGGATTGCGTAATCTATGAACTCCTTCGAGGTAGGTGTTTTCACTCCGTGGCGCTCGGTAATTACTAATGTCCCAGAGCGCGGCCTCCTTCCCGAGATTCCCCATCGGGTTGACTTTGTTGTAGCGGCTTACAAGGGGATGTACGGTCAGGCCTTGCAAGTGGCTGCCGGTCTCAGGTAACGAAGTGAGTTCATCTTGTCGATCCGGTACACTCGAAAACTATTTACTAATAAACTTTGTCCAGAGCAACTGAGGGCTTCTCCTGATGCACTTCATTCCAAACGGAACATCCAGTACAGCGTGAAATTCACGCCGCGAATTCTGGTTCTTGCGAGACCCGAGTTCATCATTTGCTCTATTGCCTGAGTCTCTTCGAATTCTCCATACCCAAATCCACATCAGCGATATCTCAAGACATGATAACATCGTATGAGTA